CGGAGAACAGTCAGGAGCCCATGGTCTTAGCTGCCTTGAAAATTCACCTCTCTACCACCAGGGGGCCTGAAATCTCCATTTCTCCTTTCCCTTCCTTTCCCCACCAGGCATAGCGCAAAAGGAACTTCCATCTCTGATTCACAATTACAAACCTCTTACTGTTTTCATCTTGATTTTCTACTTCATGTTTTGCCCTTGTAGAATTGCAAGCCCATCAATGGAAAAACCTGTATCCTCTAATTTGTCATCTTCATTGACCCCATACATGTAGTAAGAACTTCAAAATTTATTAGGGAGTCAAACACCGAGTTCCACGGGCAGATAGTCTCTATTATATTAGGTGAATAAGTTCTAGAGATCTGCAGTCCAATACTGTCCCTAATGAGTAATACTAATATCGTACCCTTAAAAACTTGTCATGAGGGCAGAGTTCATGTTAAGTGTTCTCATGACAATAAAACAATTTTTAAAAAAGAACCATTCATAATGATCTATAGCACATTTAGTGGAATGAAAGGGCAGACTGTGACATAACAACATACCAAATATGATCAAAGCAACCAATTTTGATGGGTATTTCTGCAAGTGTGTCAGAGGTCACAAGGTGTAACTTATCATAAACCTAGATATTCCAGATAGTGAGGCAGGTCACAGAACATACATGTGGATAAAGAGGTTTTAGTCTCTAGTTCTTTAAATGAAACCTTCAGTCTGGAAAGATATAACACACGCCCAAGTGGATGAACCACTGTTACCTCTGACTAATGGATTAGAAATTACAGTTAATTTTTTCCCTCATGACACTTTTCACAAAGGACAAGTAATCAAAAGGAGAAAAGCTGTTCTAAAACTTTAAAAACTATCCCTTTTAATTTTTACCTTAAACTGAATGGCAGATACACAAATTTCATTTTATTATTTTTTATACTTTATAAACATTCTCTACTATGAACGAAACATTTAATACTGTTGAAATAAGCCCTTAAAAATCAATTCCACATTTGTGGGTAATCCACATTCTCCTTCCTATCTGGATTCCTTCCCATTTTCTTCTTCTCCTCTTCCTCCTTCATATTTTTCCCATGTTTAATAGTAACAATTACTACTAATAATAACAGTCACAATAGGCATGCTTTTTGAGGCACCTTACATTATTTTCAGGCTCAGAGAATGTAAGAATTATCAGATCACAACACCCTATTAGCTATCAGTTCATTCTACAGATTTTTTTTTCAGAGACCTGATTTAACATATCTCTTCCAAGAAGCTTTCCTTGACTCTAGTCAGCCACAGCTATTCATTTCCTTGTCTTTTATTCTACTTATACTATTTCCATAGTTGGCACTTTCATATTTCTAATGTCGTTTTTTTCCTCATGTGTTTGTTGTGTATTTGTCTTACCTCCCTGTCAAGAATCCCTATGTAGTATTTTGATAAGAATATATTTTCTTCTCAGATAACCTGTCAGGGTATCTATTACAGTGTTGTGTAAATATAGTGCTATATAAACACAGTGCTGTATAAATGCTGAAAAATGAGTATAAAGAATAAATGGATGGATGAAGGCATGGAAGAAAGATGGAAGAATGGATATGTGGGTGGGTGGGTGGGTGGATGGATGGATGAAGAGATAACAGGTCAACAGAAAGGGAGAACAGGAAGGAGGGAGAGGAGGAAGAGAGATATATACCAGTGTTTTCATCTTATCCTGACTCCTGCTGTCTGAAAGAGCTGTGCTTTATACCAGAACTTTTCACACCTTAGTGTACACAACAATTACCTGGGGGTCTTGTTAAAATGCAGATTCTGATTCAGTTGGTCTTGGGACACACGATTCTGCTTGTCTAACAAGCTCCCAGGTGACAGCCAATGCAACATGAATTTTCATCCTACTCTCTGAAGTTCTCAGTGGGTAATCCCACAGCTTTACCTCATAACAGGTATTTTATATTCAGTGTAGGTCTATTACAAAGCCCACATCTTCTGGTGTCCTCAGACAAGATAAAGAACAGCTGCTTATATGATTTGCTATCCAGTCCCAACCCCTCAGTTCTCTTCTCTGACTCAATTCCAGGCATTGGAGGAGAAAACAGAACTCAGGTAAAGGAAATGAACTTTATAAAAGGAACAGCCAAGGCAGCTCCGTGGATGCTTACCTCGATGAATGACAGAGAGCTTACTGTGTAAATGTTCTAATGCTTTTACAATCTGCAAGAGAAACACAAGATAGGTTTATTTCCCCCGTCAGTGGAAAGAAACTGAATGTTAAGTATATCCAGGTTTATTATCCCTGGCTTAAGGTCACAGGTGAGGTATTTTCTCAAATAAAGGTGTTCCTATCCAAGAAAGAACACAGAAAGTCATACAAACTGGACTCCTCCCAACAGAGAGGACGATATCCCATAGCAAAGACCAAGTCTCACTCATACATCTTATTTCTCATGTGGTCTCCAGTGTTTTTTCTCTTTCCACCGTCCTGAGCCTCACAGCCATGAAGGGAGCAGCCCTTCATTCCATTTCCTTTTCTTCTGCTTCTTCCTAAGCCTATCAGTCCTAAGAAAACATTTAAATATCTACAAGTGAAAATCAAAATAAACTAATATCAGAATGTAGACACCAGGAATGTGATCATAACAAATGAATGTAATGCTGAGAAGCACTTTAACTGAGAGTTTTCCAAATTGAGTCAGTTGTAGAATCTTCTGCATAATGTTCAGAAAGAAAAGTATTCATTTGTCCTTCCACAGATGCACGCATGCATTCAACAGACATGTACTGAATGGGAGCTATGGTCCAAGTAATGAGGGTATAAGGACACATAAGGCCTGGACTCCTCACATTCTCCTTGGAGTAGGGTTCATGATGTACTCACAGAAACTGCTATTTTCCCTAAGATGTCCTCTGGAATTGTTTGGCCTTTATCGATCACTTGTTTGTAGAATTTGTCTAGGGACGTATCCATGAGCTCCATGCAGATCCAGACATCACCCTGGAGATCATTGGGTTCAGAGATGGTTAGAAAGGATGGAAAAGGGTAAAGGAGGAAGCAGTTAACATCTGTCAGGAAGAAGTGACCATTTCTTGCTTGAGTTTTGGGAGTAAAGGTACAGTTCCCCTCAAGATCCCCAAGGAATTTATAAACAGGCAAGATTATCTCCAAAGAGCAAGCTAGCGAACAACCAAGCAGAACTCGCCTGTGATCACCCAACTCCTTAATGTAAAACTAGGATCTAAATACTAACAGCCGCAGGCAGTGGAGTCCCAGAAATCCAGGCCTTTGCTGTTCCTGCCCTCTGGGAGTTCAGTCCAGATACCTACTCCATGTCTGACTTCCCACACTGACCACTGGCAATAGTCTATCCCAAGTCTGGTTTTAAGAGGGAGGTGAAGCATGAGAAAGTGAAAAGCAGAGGTAGACGTAGCGCTGTAGGGTCCACAAGGCTACCTGAAGCTCAGCAAGGGGCCCAAAGACCAGCGTATTTTGGATTTTAAGGAGTCCATCCGAATCAGTGTATGGACAACTGACAGAGAAACCGATCTACCAAAATAGGCAAACCAAAACAGAAAGCAGAAAGGGAGCCTCAGCATCTTAAGAAGGCTAAAGACATTTGAAAACACCGTGGTCTCAAGCCAGCTTTGCACCAGTGTGTGTCATCATTTCACAAGCAGGAAGCTCTCTGCAGAAGGCATGCCAAACAAGAAAGAGCGCCGGGACTGTGTACGGCCCGTATGTGATCAGGGAAGCTTCTCTGTAAGTTATCGCTCTCCTTGGACTCTGAAGGGAAGCATCACCTACCTCACGGAAGAGTGCGCCGTAAAAGGTGACCGTAAAAGGACAGTCCACGGTCCTCATGGAAATATCCAGATCCATCAGTAGCCTTTTCTGCTCCTGGCTATTTACTGTGGCCCGGATCCGCTGAAGAGGAATGCATGGAAAGTGTATGGTTACTGCTCTGAGGATGAGCCCATTAATAAGGCATGGACCTTACAGATACCCATCTTGAAAATAGTACCACCATTCACAGCACAACTTCTAGTAACAACCTTTCAAATATCTACACTAAGTGATTAGCTATTTGTAACCAACTAAGGAAGAATATTATTCATCTGATTTCCCGAATAATCCCCAGTAAGAAGCAAATTGATAATATATTTTGGAGGGTATGCAAATGTTTGGGAATGACTTTCCGAGTTACAAAAGCAGTCCGATTTATTACGTGGGTTTTGCGCAAACAGACCAGAGTGCTAATTGCTTTCTGGCTGATTTGGGGTCCTATAGAAAAAGCCAAAGCCCCTCTTTGTGAACAAGTAAGAATGTTTGGACTACACAGCAACTGTCAGAGAATTGATGCAGGAAAGGAAAGAGAAAGAATCAAACAAATGGAGAAACCATTCATTCCTGTCCCAGCGCTTTTGAGGAGAAACCTGTCACACCAGCAAATGTAGCCTTACAGAAACATGATCATGTCATTAAGTGATGGGACAATATAATATCCCTAGGCTTTCACATTTTTTACCTACTTAGGAAAAAGTTTACAGAAGAACAAACTGAAAAATCTACATAGTAAGGGAAAGGTATTTCCATTCTCAGAAAACAAAGGAATCCAAGTAACCTGACCATCCACATTCCTAACAATGGCCTAACTATATTAATTCATCTGGAGATGGGCATTCTCCAAGGTCCTTCCAACCTCCTACTCAAGAAATATGCAATGATTCCAAATTTTTTTATAGCTCAAAAACTATGCAAACTTGCTCAAGATAATTTAACGCTCTCATTTTCCACAAATGGAGACAATTTTCTCCCTCAATTCTGGTTTCCTGATTTTCAGGGACTATTTTTTAAAAGCAACAGAATAAAGATTAAAAGAGATTTAGATACAAAAAAACAAATGCAATATTTGAGCTTTTGTTTGGATTCTGATTTGAAAAAGCAACAAGTGAAAAAACAGCAACTTAGAAATAATCAAGGTCATTTTAATTTGGACCTGGTATTATATGACCTTAAGGAAGTACTGCTAATTCTTTTATGTGTGATGATTACATGGTGGCTGCATAAAAAATTAAAAGGAGAGGGTCAGGTGTATCAGTATAAAGAAAAAATACATGCAACTCATACCAGCGAAGCATTTTTCACATATTTGGAGGGAAACAGTGTTCCCTACAAATAAGCTTTTCCATTTCACCCCATCAAAGATTGTTTTGCTTGTATGAAAAGAGCTGATGTGCAGTTGAGATGGACGAAGGTATACAGCAGAGAACAGAAAACGTCTGGGGAGTGTGCACGCTACCTTCACCGCCATGATCTGCTCGCTGGGCACGTGCCGCATCTTCTCCACCACCCCGTAGGCACCTCGCCCCAGTTCCACTATGGGCTCCAGGTCATCCGCCTTCACCTCAAAGTTCTGTCAGAGAGACAAGTAATAATGCAATGTGAAAAAGGGGAATAAGCTGGACATAGACCACCTCGTCCTCTCTCTGGCTTCTCCCAGCGTTATAAGGGTCGATTCTAGTTCAGAAGGTTCTGATCTAGAAGCTTTCCAAGCCGCCACCGAAAGCAAGATGTGCTGGGAGATGTTTAGGCTCCCACAGCGTGCCCCCTGCTTGTCACAGGCAGTGCGGAGATCCATCTCCAACTCAGATTCCAGACTGCTTCGTGAAAGCTATCTAGACATGCGGTTCTTTGGCCCTGCCCCCTTAATTACATGTGTAATCCATTTGCTGACTGGTGGTAACCAGATCTGTGCTTGGACTTTGAAGAATGCACCCCAAAGAGAACCTTCTGCTCTCCTCAAATACCTTCCATTAGGACCACAATAGCCTGATTTCAATTCAACACTCAAAATAGCAGGCGCTCCACAGACCTCTTCCATTTAAATTCAGACTTTATTGACCCACCCCGTGACAGCATGTTACGGAAAACACGTTTTTCTTTGGCCAGTCAGAAAGCTTACACATGAAATGGTCAAGATATTAACTGGCAGACATGATTTTTCTCACCTGATTTCCAATAGAAATGCAAGCTTTGGAGTCTAAATCTCGAGGCGGCCTGAAAAAGAGAAGAAGGGGGAAAAATAACCATGAGCCATTTAGTCAGATATGACCTTCCCCAAGCATATGCAACTGGAGAAATTTTTCCTTAGGAATAAGGTGAAAGCTCATAAGTAAAATAAAGCAGCATAAAGGTGTTAATAGTGTGGAATTTGGAATAAAATACATTTGCACTTAAATCACTTAATCTCTGAGCTTCCATTTCTTCTTTAATACGAGGATATTAGTATGCTATCTCATGGAGTAGGAGAGTATTAAATGAGATATTCTCAGTAAAATGTGCAGCAGAATGCCTGGCATGCAGTAAATATTCAATACATAAGAGTCATAACTATACATATGTATAGTTATGTGGATAATTATACTATTCTAGTAAGCCCCAGTATAATTACATTCTTATAAGTAAGTATAAGTACTAAACTATTTACTTTCATCCAAGAGCACCCACATGCCCCATTATTCCACCACTTTTTCCACGTGTTTTTTTTTTTAAAGAAACAATATTGTTCTGTTAACTCATACAATTCACAGATCATAGGAATTCCAAACATACTTAGTCCTGCCTTTATAGGAAAAAAAGGGTCCAGACAGGTGAAGTGACTTGCCCAAGGTCACAAGTAACCCAGGTGTCCAGATTTTCATGTCCGAATACTTTCTGTCCTAGCAGGCAGGCTAACCTAGTTGGGATATTTCTTCCATACCCAGTGTACATACTCCCCAGGGGTCATGTCAGCAGCCGGCGGTCTGCTGCTTTTGTGTCTCCATAAAAGAGAGCCCACAGTCCCCTCGTGTGTACTTATTTCTACTACTTCATTGCTACCTCGGTTGATAACCATCCACTGAAGAGAACGATGTTTGGCTTTGGCTGTGCACCTAACTAGGAGCCTAGAGGAGCATTTTCTTCAAATAAATACACCAAAAGCATCACGAAGAAAGTAGTGAACGCCAAGAAACAGCAAACAAGATATACATAACAAACAATATGCTCAAACAAATAAGACAACTGGAAGCTAAGTCAAAAGAATCTCGATGCTGCCTGAACAAGGGTGACCAAAGGTTTTGGAAATGCAGGTCTCCCTAAGGGGATGTTCCAGGCCAGAATTGTCTCTAGGAGAATACAAGGAAAAATGAAAGGAACAGCAAAAAAAAAAAATCCTTGGCCCATGACAATTTTCCCAACCCTAATGTATTTTAATTCTACCCCTTCTGCTGAAACTAACTAAATAAATAAAATAAGGAAAAGGTAGGAATATAAACACAGATATACACTTGAATCTAAGGTTTTAATGGCAACCCTCCCTCACCTCAAAATCCCTTTAAAAATGTATAGAATACCTAAAGTAAAGTTTTCCTACACTAATTTAAAACCAGGACTGGCAGAGATGTTTTTATGTATCTTGTGTTTCTGAGCAGGGAATCTTTCTTCAGAAACACTTTCCAAAGGAATTAAGTTTCTAAAAATCTAATTTCTCACTTTTAAAACCTTGAAAACTGTTTTTTTCTAGTTGTCACAATTTGTACTAATTACAGTGGAACTTTGAAATAAAGACAAACATTACTTGAAACATGTGACTAATATAAACAGTCAAAAACCTTTTGCAATTGTTCAGACACTAAAGCAACAGAAAAGGTCACTAGTTATTTGGCGCTACCTCCCTCTGTGTCCTTGCCATTCAATGAGAGTTTTGAGTAAAACCTCTTCCAGGTCTAATATTCTAGTATTCATACCAGGGCTCTGCAAATTACAGTTTATGACCCAGCTAACAATGAACTTTACACGTTTAAAGGGTTGTAAAAAAAAAAACAAAGAATCTCCAGCAGAGGCCACTGTGGTCTGGGTAGCTCAAAATATTTACTCTCTGATATTTTGCAAAAAAGTTTGCTGACTCTAGCTTTATGCGAACCTTGCATTATATCTCTACCTAATAGGAGGGTTTCATGCCATTTTCCAGAATGAGAAAAATGAAACCCAGAAAAGTTCAGCGATATGCTGAAGCCATCCATACAGTCCTCAACAGAGCTGAAAATAAAACTCACATAAGCCGAGGCTCAGTCTTTAGCTAAGAGAAGGGAGTCTATAGTGAAGTTCGGGCTAAGTGTGTTACCTGCATCTCATATAATTAAAACACACACACACACACACACACACACACACACACGCGCGCGCCATTATTCCCATGTTCCAAATGAAACTGGTTTCACACACACACACACACACACACACACACACGCCATTATTCCCATGTTCCAAATGAAAAACTGGTTTAGAGTTTAACTAACTTGCTCCCAAGTGGTGAAGCCATGATTCCAGTCCAAGTCTGACTGAATCCAAGAAACCTGCCCCCGACACCCAGGCCTCCTCTAATGAAAATGATCAGTCCACCCAAGCCTGAGGACTTCAGGCTCATGGAGTCTGCCAAAAGCATCAAATGATGGGGCCAAGACTGACAGCTCGGACTGAATTAGTTGACACTACGTTCTGTCCAGGGCTGGGCATATTAGTTTGCCTGGGGCACCGAGTCCCTACAGGAGGTTTAAACTGTGGGTAGACATTCTCTGTTGATTATTCAATGTTTTAGTCCTCTGGGGAGAGAACCAAACGTATTACGAAATTCCTAACCCTGGAAGGCCAAAGGTATTCCAAAGGTCACACCTACTACTAGAGTTTTACATAAACAACCAGCTTTGGTTTATTAAAATACTTATTTACAGTTCTACATGAGTAATGCGTTTACCGGTTGCTGTTACAATTATCATCCATCTACAACAACAAGGTTAATAACAGTGTTTACTTATAACCTAATAATATTTACTAGGCATCTCCTTGGGCCAGATACTGTGCTAGCCCCTTTACAGAAAATATCTTCTTTAATTTTCACAACTCTTAAAGGATATTCTCTCTATTGTAATGTGAGGAGTTGACATTGAAACAGACAAAATAATGTCAGCACATTCAAAGAGATGGTGACTAGAACCCAGATCCATGTCAGGAAGTCCTCTCACCTGCAGGAGTGGAAGACCCTACCTCTCATTTCACAGCCGTGGCATTCAGCTGCCGTCCCTGGCAATCTGATGGTGTGACTCAGAGCTCATGCTGGAGAGCTGGAGGGCCCTGAGTTTGCATGCCAGCTCTTCCACTTATTAAGTGAAGTAATAATAACAACACTTAGTGCTGCCTTCATTGAGAAATTACACTGGAACAGGCACTAGGCTAGACACTTCACAGAGACTCTGACATCTAATCCTCATAGCAACCACTTCAGTGTTTATTCCCATTTTTCATAAGGGGAAACGAAGGCTTAGTAGGGTTAGGTAAGCTGCCTAAGATATTCACCTGCTGAACTTCAGATCCCAAATGTGAACCTAGGCATTCTGGCACCAGTGCTGAACTCTGTGCTCAACTGCTCTGAGCAAGGCATCTGATCCTTGTACATGTCTGTCTTCTCATTTATGAAAAGTGAGAGTAAGAACAACCGCCTTTTGAGTTTCTTGTGAGGATTAAATAAGACTGACTAGCAGAGACTTGATTTAGAATTAGTGAGTGCCAATCAAGTGAGGGGCAGCCCAGAAATCTCAAAGACACATTGGCATCAGTTACCCAAAGAAAGAACTCAAGCAAACGGACCACACACAGCACTAAAAAGAAAGGGGCTCTGTCCCAATCTGTTTATTTTTGTGTAGTCCAGCAGAAGGCAGCAGGGTATAAACAGTAAGAATCACCAAGCCAACCTCAAAAACTTGCCAAGAAAAACTCAAAATGTGGAAGCTTCTTCCACAAATTTAAGCCTCAGTATTAAAATAATAATAATAATAATAATAATAATAATAATAATAATAATAAGCCTCTCCATGAGCTAATGTGGCATAGTTTACAATAATGAAGTGACCCTGGCTTCACACTATGAAACAGAAAAGTTTATTCCAGGTTTATTCTACTACATGAGGGAAAGACAACAAGGAAACTACTTTTAATCTTTGCAAAGATTTTTATTCACTGTGTTTATACCAAGGAAGGATTTATGGTAGTTTTCAAACATTCATAAAAAACAGAATATTCATATAAAGTAGAAGAAGGTGAAGACTAGCAAATGTTAAAGGGGAGGAATGTAAGACAACTAAGAGGTGGATATAAAAATATATCCTATTCATAGCAGCACTATTTACAATAGCCAAAACATGGAAGCAACCTAAATGTCCATCAACAGATGACTGGATAAAGAAGTTTCGGTATATCTATACAATGGAATACTACTCAGCCATCAAAAAGGATAAAATAATGCCATTTGCAGCGACATGGATGGACCTAGAGATAGTCATTCTAAGTGAAGTAAGCCAGATAGAGAGAGAAAAATACCATATGATAGCACTTATATGTGGAATCTAAAAAAAAAAAAGGACACTGAACTCATCTGCAGAACAGAAACAGACTCCCAGACATAGTAAACAATTTTATGGTTACTAAGGAAAGGGGGTGGGAAGGGATAAATTTGGGAGTTTGAGATTTATAAATGTTAGCCACTATATATAAAAATAGATTTTAAAAAATGTTTCTTCTGTATAGCACAGGGAACTATGTTCAATATCTTGTAATAATGTTTAATGAAAAAAATATGAAAACAAATATATATATGTATATGCATGACTGGGACATTGTGCTGTACACCAGAAATTGACATATTGTAACTGACTGTACTTCAGTAAAAAAAGAATTAATAAAAGTGATAGCATTAAATATATATATATATATCCTAAAGGAAATAATAAAGATAAGAGCAGAAATCAATAAAGTTGAAAACAGGAAAATAAGGAAAACAAAGTTGAACCATTTAAAAAAATCCATAAAATTGATAAACCTCTAGCAAGACTAATAGATTAAGAAGGGAGACGATGCAAAGTGTCAATATCAGCAAAAAAAAAAAAAAAAGAAGGGGGCTATCACCACATATCCTGCAGCCATTAAAAGAATAATTAGGAAATACTATGAACAACTTTACTTTCATAAATTCAACAACTTAGAAGAAATGTACCAATCCCTTAAAAACCAAACTTACCATACTTAGCTATAATAAGATAGATCATCTGAATTGTCCCGTAACTATTAAAATGAATTTGTAATTTAAAAACTATAGAAAAAGGAACATACAAGCTCATTTTGTTTCACTGGAGAATTTTAGCAAACACTAAAAAAAAAAGAATTGCATGTATGTAATCATTATGTTGAATATCTAAAACTAATATAATGATTTATGTCAATTATAGCTCAAATTTTTTCAAAGAATTATCACTTACCTTACACAATGTCTACCAGAAAAATAGAAGAATGTATTCCTAACAACTCATTTTATAAAGTCAGCATTACCTTAATATCAAAACCAGAACATAACAGCACACACAAACACACACACACACAAACCCTACTACAGACCAACATCTGTCATGAACTTAAGACACAAAAATATTCAACATTTTAGCAGATCAAATCAAACAATGTGTAAAAAGCAATATACCACAACCAAGTGGGATTTATGTTGGGTATGAAAGGCTAGTTCAATATTTTAAAAATCAGTATAATTCATATCAGCAAAGAAGGACAAAGAAAAATCTATAATCACATTAACTGATGCACAAAAAAAGCACTCAACAAAATTCAATATACAGTCATAATAAAAACTCTGAGTACACTACGATGAGAGAGGAACTTCTTCAAACTCACAGACAACATCTGCAAAGACCTAACTAACACCACGGTTTAATGGTGAAAGATGAAATGCTTTCCCACTATGCTGGGGAACAAAGCAAGGTTGCCTGCTCTCACCAATCTTATTCAACATAGTGCTGAACATCCTTGCCACTGAAATAAGGTAAAATAAAAGTTAAAAAAAATAATAGGAAAGAAAGAAATAAAACTTTCTCTTTTTGCAGAAGGTATGACTGTCTACTCAGAAAACTCTAAGGAATCTACATTAAAAGTTCCTAGAACTAATAATTGGGTTTAGTAAGGTCACAGGAGACATAGTCTACAAAAATCAACCACATTTCTAAGTACTGACAATGAACAAATGGAAATCAAATCAAAAGTGGAATACAATTTGAATTGCTTCTGAAAAAGAAAATACGTGTGAATCTTAACAAAGCCTAATGTAGAGAATCTGTATGACGAAAACTATAAAATCATGATGGAAGAAATCAAAGAAAATCTAAATACTTGGAAAAATCTACCACATTCATGGACTGAATGATTTTGTGTAGTAAAGATGCCAGTTCTCCCTCAGTTGATCTAGAGGTTAAACACAATTCCTATCAAAAATCTCAGCAAGTTTATTTGTAGTTATAGATAAAATTATCCTAAAGCTAATATGAAAAGAGAATAGCCCTAGAATAACCAAAATAGTTCTGAAAAAGAAGAATGAAGTGGGAGGAACCACTTTTCCCAATGTTACGGCTTACTACATAGCTGCAGGTATCAAGACAGTGTGATACTGGACAGACACACAGATTAACAGAACAGAATAGAGAACCCAGAAATAGATCCAAACAAACATGCCCAGTTAGTATGTGAGAAAGGAGCAAAAGCAATTCAGTGGAGGAGGGAGAGCCTTTTCAGCAAATGGCATTGGAGCAATTAGAAATCTATTGGCAAAAAAAATAAAGCCCAACCTAAACCTCACACCTTGTACAAAAATTAAACTCAAAATGTATCATAGACTTAAATCTAAAATGTAAAATTATAAATCTTCTAAAAAAGAACATCAGAGAAAATTTACATGACCCAGGACTAAGCAAAGGGTTCTTAAACTTGTCACCAAAAACATAATCCGTAAGAGGAAAAACTGATCGACTGGACTTCATCAAAGTAGAGAGACAAAAAGACCCATTACAGACTGGGAGACAGTGTTCTTGAATCACATATCTGACAAACTCTTTTGTGTTTTGGATATATAAAGAACTCTCAAAACTCAACATCAAAAAAAAAAATCTGATTAGATAATAGGCAAAGAAGTGCACAGACGTTTCACCAAAGAAAATATGTGCATGGAAAATAAACACCGAAAGTATTCAACATCAGTAGCCATTAGAGAAATGAAAATTAAAACAGCAATGATATATCACCACACATCTGTCAGAGCAGCTAAAATGAAAAACAGTGGTAACGTTGACAGGGATGCAGAGACACCGGGTCATTCATACGTTTTTGGTAAGACTATAACATGGCACAATCACCCTGGGAAATATTTGGCAGTTCTTTCAAAACTAAAAAATGAACTTACCATATAACCCAGGAATTGCACCACTGGACTTACATCCCAGAGAAATGAAGACTTATTTTTATGCAAAAACTTACACGTGAATGTTCACAGCAGCTTTACTCATGTAACAGCCCCAAACTGGAAACTACTCGTATTTCCTTCAAAGGCTAAAGGGTTTAACACATAACACACGTTATATCCATACCATGGAATGGTATTCAGCAGTAACACAGAATGAACTGTGGGTATATGCAATAACTTGAACGAACCCCAGGGAAATTATGCTGAATGGAAGAGGCCAGTCTCCAAAAGGAGATGCATGATCTCATGTACATGACAATCATGAAGTAACAAAATGGATGAACAGATTAGTGATTGCCAGGAATTAGGGACCCCAGGGATGAGGGGTGAGTGGTAGGTGCGGCTCTAATGGAGTAGTAGGAAAGAGTCGTGTGGTGCTCTACAGTTGAGTATCTTGACTGCGGTTGTAGTTATACAAGGCTACACATGTGATAAAATTGTATAGAGCTACACGCACATACACACGCACAAATGAGTGCTTATAGTGCTGGTGAAATCTGAACAGTCTGGTTTGCGCCAGTGCCACTTTCTTGATTTTGATATGATTGTGGAGTTGTGTAAGACGTTAACATGGAGAAGGAGGACACGAGCCAGGGAAAGGGTACATGGGATTTTTTCTGTATATTTCTTTGCAACCTCCTATGAGTCTACATTTATTTCAAAGTCAAGTTTTAAAAGTGTACCCCAATAAAGTCCTGCATAGGGATTTGATCCTAAGCTCCCGAGAAACCTATCAGAGAGAAAAAGTTATTAATTAGACAGTTCGTAGGTCCAAGGGAAGAAAAAGCAATCAAAGGGACCAAAGAAAAGAAAAATTTGGTAGCACAGACTGAAAGAACTTTCTCCTGCAGATCCTTTTGAAAGGATGAAAGGAACAGACTCACTTGAATTTGGCTCCTTGAGCTACAGTCCAAGGCCCTGATGAGTAGCCCTCCCCTCTGCTCTGTCCTCAGAGGTTCTTCAGTGGACAGTGTGTTTATACGGTTGCCTGGAGGCAATGGCCAATGGTCTCAGCAAAGTCATGCATGACATGATCATATTTACTAGCACATTCCAACACCAGGGGGTGCACTTTCTGATAGAAATGAATCACAGTTAAGGTCAAAAAATCTCCACAAAAGGAGGCACTTTTTTCATAGATGAGTAAAAGCCTTAAAAATTCAGGCTTCCATTGGGATAGCCTCTCTTTGTACTTGACCTGCCTTTGTAGTGCCCCTGCTATGATTTTTGTGCCCCTTGGAATTTCTATTCCCCCCATGCAGATGCTCTGATAGGTGGTCATAGCCCCAGCCAGGCAGGAAATACCCTCCCACCTTACAGAGAGACAAGGAAACAAGAAGGAGGCTCAGGGAGAGGGTACCCTGCTTTACCAGGACCTTGAGCTCACTTAGGGATTTGATCCAGAGGCTCAGCTAATAAAGGAGTGTTCCATTACCTCATTTTGCCTTCTGTTTATATGGGACAGGATTTAGGAGTCAGGATGCTAAGTCCTCACCATATACCATCTTTCCACCTCAACCCAAATTTTATAGTAGTGGCTCTCTCAGGGATTTATTTGTTTGCTCAGATCTACATGGAAAAGGCAAAAAGTCTATATCCAGGGACTTTTCTGGATTTACATGGATCCCCATCTGCCAAACACGTTTGTAGAATTTTTAACCAACCAATAATATGAGACACTGAGTTAAAACTACCCATTCCATGTAGACTAACTGAGTATGATTTTTCTTTTCAAGTCTCAGAGCAGTGAGTACATGGCTTCCCCCTTTAAAGTGCTCTCCTTTCTAACAACTATTTCCGTAGTCAAGATACCGCTCACCAGTCCAAAACTGAATTCCCATTCCCTGGAAATCCATAAAGCTTCAACGTGTTTGGATTAAGATAATGATGCTGCCAACTTACGTGGAACTGGTCTGAGGTTGTTCAAATGCTTCCTTTGGAATTTTAAGGCCAGGATTTCGCTTCTTGCCTACAGGGAAAGATGGAAGGAAAAAGTTAAGGTCTCATAGCATGAGAGCAGGGAGAGAGACTGCAGCAGGGAAAAGGGATGGCCCTGGGAACGCAGGTCTCATTTCCCCATTCAGAACTCCACTTCCTACCCAGGACGTCCGTGAGCGACAAGCATCCAGTCACCAGGTTGAGCAGAGCTTCCCAAACACACAGTGTGGTCACGAATGAGGTTTTTCACCAGTCCAGGGTGAAATATCAGTGTAAGAATGCCAATTCTTTTTACCCAGGAAGACCTGCTCTTCTCTCCCTGCTGGGAGTTTGACATTCCAGCCTCTTTTTTCCTTTATTATACACAACAATGGTGATGGTAGATGATGTTGGTTATAGTTTTTTTTTTCTTTTTAATGCCAGTCAGATGTAATCATGCTTATCTCAGTATACTACTACATTCTAAATTGATCTGCAATTGGCTGATAGACTTAACCATGCAGGTGGAATGAAAAACACTTTCCCACTGCTCTGCCCTGCCCATTGTCAACCACCTGCCATAAGCTGAAACACCTAGGAGAGGGATAGAATAATGTTTGTTTATGTTTACCCTGTTCAGAAAAGCATTAAGATAACAGATGGACTCATGCAAGGAGGCTGTCATTTCTTTGGGGGCAGATGGGAACATAACTGATGTGTTCACCCTCCTGGGCTGAAACCACAAGAGAGCCTGGCTCAGATACTTTTGTTGATGAGTTAAAAAGAACAGACTGAGAAATGGCAGCTCAAAAGTGATCAGAGAAACCAGTCTTGTAAGGGCCTGAGATTTTCCTCACCTAAAGAGATCTGTGTCTCTTCGCACTTGGCATGAGAAAGCAAAAAGGAGCTGAATAGAATACCCAAGGGTTCACTGTCTTTCTCGCCTTTTCTCCACTTTGCAGGGAGCAGTACAGGCTGACACAAGCCCTGGTTAAGGCCCTAAAGAGAGATCCTGAAGCTGCATGGAAAATTAAGAAATTAAATACTGTAACCGCCTTGCATGAAAAGGACATCCAAAGACTTCAGTTATTGCTCAGCATCAGAGAGCCAGCAATGACCTAGTCAGAATCAGAATCCAGGTCTCCAGATACGCAGGTGGGAGCTCTTCCCTCTGTTCCACAATGGATGACGTTTAGAAGTGACCAGAGAGAATGGGGCAGGGCGGGGATGGGATTATGAGTTTTTAAAAAAGCAGCTTACATCTGGTCCCTTCCCTCACCAATGACCTCCAGAGTCACTTTTCACCTGACTCTTGATATCCTCAATTATAAAATGCTCTCGTGACATCAATACCTACCTTACTGGACTGATGTGAGAACCATGAGATAACACAGATGAAAAAGCAATGGAATACCTTAAGTAGCTGTTAACTATAATCATTTAGAGAAACAATCTGTACAGCCTCATTAAAGAAAATAAATCATTTAAGAAATTCATGAACAGAACATAGCCCAGTAAAATGTACAATTGAGAATTTTTCCCCTATGCCTTCAAACTCCAAAAATCTAGATCAATTCTGCCAAGCTGTATAAAGCCAGCAAGCAATGTGCTTGGCAGTAATAAACACAGAGAAAGCCTTTTAGCACCGCCTTCATTGTAACAGGTTTTCTCAATTTTCTCCTCATTTGGACTTATCCATGTGTTTTATAAGAATTCAAAACTCACCATTTACTTTCCCATTCCTGGAGCTCAGGTGGCCATTTAGCACGTCGGTCAATTATTGACCATACGCTGAGCTGTACTATGTACCAGAACGATGCTAAGTGCCGGATCTGATTCTGGGAATCCACATAGGTACACGGCCAGTCCAATAATTCCCATCCATGGGCCTCAGCCAAATAGATAGAGAAGGGTATTTTAAATGAGATACTCCAGGGAGGAACAAATGGCAAGTTTGACTTGTCCAGGTAACAGCATACAGATTCCAACACAGGTGCCAGACAATTCAGGTAATCCCAGCAGATACAACCCTGTAGTTGTCCCAGATAAAACAAAACAAAATGAAACTAAAGTATATTTTGCCTGTGAAGAAGTCTCCTCAGATGCCATTTAAACAAGCCAAAAGCAAACATTACTCTTTATTTTTAATTGAAGTATAGTCAATTTACAATGTTGTGTTAATTTCTGATGTACAGCATAGTGATTCATTTATACATATATATTCCTTTTCATCCTCCTTTTCACTATAGGCATTACAAGGTCTTGAATATAGTTCTCTGTGCTATACAGTAGGCCCTTGCTATTTATCTATTTTGTATACAGTAGTTTGTATCTGCAAATCCCGAACTCCTGATTTATCCCTCCCCACCCCCATTCCCCTCAGTAACCATAAGTTTGTTTTCTATGTCTGTTTTACACACACGTTCATTTGTGTCATTTTTTTTTAAGATTCTACATATAAGTGATACCATATGGTATTTTTCTTTCTCTGTCTGGCTTAGTTAACTTAGTATGATGATCTCCAAGTCCATCCCTGTTGCTGCAAATAGCATTAGTTTATTCTTTTCCAACGTTACTCTTAAGTTCCTATATCTCTCTTCTTCACTTCTAACTCAGCTCTTACAATATATATGTCAAGAGAAATAGCTATTTATGGAGAAAACCACCTTTGAAAAACTAACATAGCAGTGAATTATTACACCACAGCAATTAATTATTAGTAATTCCTTAATAGCAATCAATATTAAGCTATGACCCAATAAATCATCAAAACATCTGTACAAAGAAATAGTAAAAGAAAGAGAGAGAGAGAAAACTTTTTAGCACAGTGATTAAAGGAATAAATGACCAAAACAACAATGAAGTCTTCTAGGTGTGGGAAAAGAAGACCCCTGGTTCTCCTCTGACAAGAAGAAAAAGAATTCTAGGAGACACAAACCCTAGTTGAATCACACCGTTAGAAAACACCCTGCCCTTTTTTTTTAAGTAGATCAAATAAAACAAAAATCACAAAGGCACACACTAGCATTCCATAATTCACTTACTTGCCCATCAGTGAAAGAGTAACCCAGTAAGAGACCAGCAGAAGTGACTCTGATGAGATGTTCAAGGCTGCAAGGAGAGTGAGCAGAAGAAAACCCCACAGAAGGCATTCTTGACTTAGCTCCGGAGACCACACTTCAGCCGAGTGAGGCAGAACTGCACAGACTCCTCCCCTTCCTCCAGTGCAGATTGCCCCAAACCTCTGCAAGTTTATCATTCCCCGGAAAACTCCAGCTTCAGAAAGGGAGTAGGGAAGTGGGTCCATCTGGACATCAAGACGTGACATTAATCACTAACCAGGCTGGGAGGAATAAATTTATAAAGTAATTCTGGACAGTACAGCGTTCTCCAGCCTTTCTGTAAATGCCTCTTTCATTTCTTAAAAGAAAGGAAAACAATACGTGGTCTGTTTCCAGCTGTGTTTATTTCAAAGCAATCTGTTCCCCTTCACAAGGCTGCCAACACCTGACTCTAACATTTAACACCGTGATAAAAAAAAATTAATAAGAGGGAGCAATGTGAATAATAAAATTAAGTGGCCAACTATGATAAATGGCCTTTTCACTTGATATTCTAAAGTAAAACTGAAAAATATATCAGAAAATAGGCTCCATGTTACATCACATGCTAGTAACAAGCGTTCTCAGAAGGAGGAAATTCTGTGCATGTCTGCAGATCTCAACCAGTTTTGCCCTCTGCTTGGTACAACCTGCAAAGGCTAAAAACATCCTCGGCCTGATTGAGCGTATGTGGTACTGTGTTACATCAGCCAGTGTCACACGCATGCCTCTTTTCTCTGAAAATATTGTAGTCCCACGACACACATGTATTTGCAAAACTCATCTTAAACCAAAGCTGGGTCATTATGATCCCAGCCTGGAGCAAAATGGCACTGAAAAAAAAACCCCAAAACTTGCCAGTAGTTAGAAAACATTTACCAGGCCACAGAAATGTTCACTAGCTCTGACCATACAGAAAATGATGGGGTACACAAGACCTCTTGCTCAGCACCCGCTCGGAGAAGCTAAGCACAAAGGACTTCTCTCATGTGCCTTATTACATAAAACAGAAGATCGTGCTCCAGTGCCAACCCAAACAGCCAGAGAATCCCACAGGGTCAACAGGAGGTGACGTCGTGAGGATATGCTGACACCTAAGTATTTGTCAGCTTGGCCGAGGGTTGGGTGGGGGGGACATGATTGTGAGGGTTTACAGTTATTGACACAGCTTTACAAAAGGATGGCTTTGCTCCCAGTGCCAAATTTATTTTAAAAATCTGTTTCCCAATGTGAATGGATTTCCAGCCAAATAACTGGCAACCTGGAGGCTTTGGCTGCCCTTGCTTTAATACTTGCATCTAGGCTTAAGTTCCAGAGGTGGCTGGCACTAAAATCGGCAGAGAAGTGTCATTAAATGTTATTAAATTGCAATGATCAGATGCAAAGCAACTAAGGGGGGCAGGGCAGAGGGAGGGGAGTATGGGGAGAGAACTGGCTTTACAACAGCGATACGAAAGTGGACACAAATACCTCCGTCCCCCCAAACCACTGGACCTAACCCACCATGGAGACTCCAACCAGTATGCCAAATTTCTTTGGAATTACATAAAATTTAGAGAAGGAAAGCGGCAAAGCTCATTTTAAAACGCGCAGTCATTTTTATTTCAAGCAGGCAGATGACTCTCCTGAAACCCTGCCTTTACCTTTGCATCTCTCTGCTTGGGGGGGCTCCAGGCCTTTTGTGGACCAGATCTCCATCTTCCAAATTCAGCTCACTGATCATGGGACCCACAGAACCTTCCCAGACCTTCCTGAACACTCCTCAAGGATCCTTGTCCACACCTGCCAGCTTCCACATGCTGGCATCTCGAACACCATATGAACTCAGTGCAACTTTACTAAACCTCCACTCTTCCGGTTTAAAATGTCCACTCTATCTTAAGATGGGTCTCCACGACCACCTGCCATTTTTATTCCTCATATCTTTTCTCACTATCTCAAATCACTGTAC